TGGAAGTTTGGAATTTCCAAACTTTCCACCAAATCAGAGCCACCTCCAGGGTTTTGTCTGCATCCTAACTTTGCATCTTTCTACTCAGCTGTTGATCTTGGCTTATGGCAGGCTCTCTTTTTGCTTTTCTTCCATTACTGCAGAGATTAAAAAAAAAAAATCTTTCCCTGGAAGAATGAGATTGAATTTTTGCAACCTGAGTTAAGTGTTACTTGACTGGTTTTTCCCCCCCCCCCTTTTTCTTTTCATCTCTAGCTCTCTAACCTGCGATGGTTCTCATTCAGTTTATACTATGATAAAAGCAGACCTTGTGAACAGTGTGTATGCACCCAGTAGTGAAAACCCATAGTGGTTTGGGCTGCTCTGAGCGTAGAGCAAATTCTGATTTTGCCGTGGGAATTTAGGAGTTCAGTAAGTAGCAAGTATTACACAGGAACCATTAATCAAACAGATTGTGCTTCATAAAATGAGCCTGTGGCTTTATAACCTGTCCCCACTGCACACCCAATTATTGTCAAGGAGGCCTTCCTCAGGAGTTCTCACAATTGCAAGGTGTATAGGTAAAATCCACGTTGATTGGGAATTCTGGGAATTGAAGCATGGGTTATGCCGAGGGCACTCAGTTGGCAGCTGCTTTTGTAAGGAATCAAATTCTATCTTGAGGAAATGAAGTATCTGTTGGTCCATTCTTGGCTTGCAGTCGATAAGACATGAATAAAAGAAATAACAGTTCTGTTTTGACTGAACCACAATCAGATCTCATGAAGTAGTCAAATTAATGTTCCTATGTTTAGGTGTTTCTGCCAAAGATGTGTTATTTCTGTAAAACCGAATGAAGAGAGCGGGGAGAAAAAGCGAGATTGCAGATTCTTTAGCGATGAAAAAATCCAGCTCTGGACTATTTTAATGTGATCTGGTAACTAGGATACAGTACTGTTTTTCTTTTCTTTATGGCCACTTGAGAAGCTAAACTAGATATAGGTAGTCCTTGACGTACAACAGTTTTGTTTAGTGACCATTCAAAATTACAACGGCACTTAAAAAAAGACTTACAACCATTTTTCACCCTTACGACCAGTACAGCATCCCTGTTGTCATGTGATTGAAAATTCAGAGGCTTGGCAACTGACTCATATTTATGATGATGACAATGTCCGGCGTTCATGCAATCACTTTTTGTGGCCTTCCGACAAGCAAAGTCAATGGGGAAGCCAGATTCACTTAACAACCGGGTCACTAATTTGAACACTGCAGTGATTCACTTAGAAAATGGGGCAGAACTCACTTAACAAGATTTCTCACTTAGCAACAAAAATTCCGGGCTCACTTGTGGTTTGCAAGCCGAAGGCTAGCTGTATGGTGGCAGTAGATCCTTCAATTTAAAGTTCTGGCCTGATTGTGTGTAATTGAGAATATTGGGATAATCAATTCCCAATTCACGATTTAGCTTTCTGTAGTCTGATCAGCTACCGGAGAATCATAGAATTGAAAATGGCCTTGGATTTCATCGAGCCCACCCCTCCCCCGGGAAAGGAATATTGGTGACGGCAGCACCACTAAGGAGTAGCTAATGATCCTCTACTAAATGCCTCCAGCGAAGGTGAATGGATCATCTCCTCACTGCTATTCTGTCAGCCCTTAATCTTCTCTTCTCCAGGCTAAATATAGCCAGCTCTTCCAACTGTTTTTCCTAACGTTTCAATTCTACCTCTTTTGCTATCCTACCCATTCATCTGCGAGTGGCCTCGCTCATTCTGTCTTTTTCTTAAAACGTTTCATCCAGACCCAGGACACCGTCCTCCAGTTGTATGACCTAATAGTACAGAACGGAGCTACTCGGTTAAAGCAGCTTTAGATGGCTTTCACTTATTTCGGGATCGCATCCCACTGCTGGCAACGTTGTTCAGTTTGCGACTAGCTTAGACACCTCTATCCTTCTCTCATATAAAAGGTAAAGGTTCCCCTTGCACACATGTGCTAGTCGTTCCCGACTCTAGGGGGAGGTGTTCATCTTCATTTCAAAGCTGAAGAGTCAGCACTGTCCGAAGACGTCTCCGTGGTCATGTGGCCGGCATGACTCAACGCTGAAGGTGCACGGAACGCTGTTCCCTTCCCACCAAAGGTGGTTCCTATTTTCCTACTTGCGTTTTTTACATGCTTTCGAACTGCTAGGTTGGCAAAAGCTGGGACAAGTAACAGGAGCTCACTCAGTTACGCGGCACTAGGGATTCGNCACAAAAACTTTTTTTTTACTTGCCTCTTCAAAACCTTGGTGCATCTTATACTCCGAAAAATACGGTATACCCCCAAAATATTATACGGACATAGTGAAAGCAGTGGGCTGCATAAGGAAATGCCATTTCTCCCCGAAAATATGACAGGGTCTTATTTTCTTTTGACTCCTGAAATAAGCACTTGGCCTTATTTTCGGGGGGAGGGGGTTCTTATTATTTTCGGGGTGCAAGAGGCGGTGAGCGTTGCAGGCTGCTGCTGTGTTGCAGTATTTTCAGGGAGGGCTTATCCGGGGAGATCTTATTTTCAGGGAAACAGGATATTTTAATATCTTTTTGGAAGCCCTTAAAAACAAGCCGTTGAGCAAATGTTGAACCAGGAATCACCTGGAAGGTTAAAATACGTCGGAAGCTTTTTCACGACAGGTTGTTCCCATGTTGAACGCTGCTGTCTTAAGTCAGTCTTATTCCAGAAGAAATTAATTACCTTTTAAAAGGTACGAGCAGGGGAGGGAAGGATACGAGGCCTGCTCTAACAGGTGATACAGCTTTCCCCTATGAAATACTCCGTTGTCATCCCAGGCTTATTAGAGGCTTGGATCATCCCTGTGGTTGTGTAATTCTTTAAGGCAGGTTAACCTGGTGGGGAATTGCAGGAACAACCCGACGAGAAGGCGCCATGTTGCTTCAAAGAAATGAAAAATTGGTTGTGTTGTCCTTTGTGGACTGGCGCTGCCAAGAAAGTAATCTCCCCCCCACAAAATACCACCATGTGAACAGTGCTTTTCACCTCTAAATTTGGCACGCGATCAAGTTGTTTTGGGGTAGGGTGGGAGGGAGCCAGGACAAATCTCCTCCAGAGTATCTCCCTGTTGTTCCAGATCAGATAGGGTAGGCCGGGAGCCACAAAGGTCCTAACCGGAAGCTCCCCGTTCAATTCTGGAGCTGACCGGAAGTTCAGTTCCCCTACCATAGAATCTCCTCCTAGCACGACGTACTTTTTCTTCTACCTGTCATAAAGCCCTATCAATTGTGGAGACAATTGCCATAGAGTCTTCTCCTGGTGCACTGTGCTTCTCTCCCACCCCCCCACCCCCAACCGGAAGCTCCTCTCAAAATTGTGGCACCAACCGGAGCCGCAGCAGAGGGAGGAAAGAGCCACATGCGGCTCCAGAGCTGCAGTTCACTGATCCCTGGAGTAGGCCTGTTCTGGGTCCCTTCCCCGAAATGTTGCCCACTAGGTGACCTCAAAAACATGTGTTTTATGTGGCTGCCACCACCACAGAAAACACTCTTGCCCCCAGCGATCAGGCAGCCCCCTCCCACCCCTCATTTTAACTTTCCAGAAGACCATCAAAATTATCCTTTTTACTACTCAGTACAGTGTGAATGTCTGGTGTGTATCCCAGAAGGATGATTGAGGCCCTGGGTTTGGCTTGCGTTTCACGGTTTTCCCAAGGCCAAGCTTTTCATTGTTGTGAGCTACTCCCTTGTGTTTTTTAGAGGGACGGCCAAACGCAGCCTTTAAGTAAATAAACAGGCCCGCTTGCGTTGCCTCGCTCTTCCTTTTTCTGCCGCCGCTGCTACTTTTGGAAGTCACGCCTTCTCTCCCTTTCCTTCCCCACCGAAGTCACCAATGCCAACTAAAAGAATCCAACCAGCCTTTGCAAGCCCCAAACGAAGGATCGTTGGAAGACAGCGAGGAGCTGCCCGCTCAGAGATACGAGCGGGATTTGGTGCAGAAGCTCAAGTTCCTCCGGCACGAACTCTCCCTCCAGCAGCCTCAAGCGGGCCACTGCCGCATCGAAGTATCGAGGGAAGAAATATTCGAGGTATGTAAACAGGAACCTGGGAGAAGGGGATCTGGATTCTGCCTGCCTGCCTGCCTGCGTAAAACGCAGATTGGTCCTGCCAGGCCCAGATGCCATTTGGGTACCGGTTTTCCCAACCGACGTTCGATAAGCAAAACCAGCGGGGGAGGGAGGGGGTTAGCTTAACGACCGTGTGGTTCACTTAAGAACCGCAATGATTCGCTCAACAGCCGTGTCAAAATAAGGTGATAAAATTGGCTTGCCACAAACTTAACACCTGCTCTTGCTTAGCAACAGAAATTTGGATCCCAGTTGTGGTCATGCATTCTGCCAACATAGCAGTTCGAAATCCCGTTAAAAAAATGCAAGTAGAAAAATAGGAGCCACCTTTGGTGGGAAGGGAACAGCGTTCCGTGCGCCTTTGGCGTTGAATCATGCCGGCCACATGACCACGGAGATGTCTTCGGACAGCGCTGGCNAAAAAAAATAGTACCTCTGTGATAATACTAAGTGTTCAGTCCTTCTGCCGGAAGAACAACTTTTTAAAAACTCTAGTAAGAAACCACAAAGCTAGCTGGGAAATGCTTGAACCTCAACGAGGTTTCAGTTTGATCACACAAGCCAAACCTTGTCTGAATTCTCAAAATCCTAGAAACGAACAATTTTAGAAAAGAGTTCCTAGCACAACGTTAAACAAACTTTCCATGGTTTCTCCATATAAATGAATTCGAAAGCCAAAAAAAAAAAAAAAAAGGCCCAGGTTTGGGGAAATGTGTGCTGTGCAATTCAGGAAAATAATCAAAACGTAACGCTGCTATTTATTAATCCAGTTGTATGCGTCTCTGAGCTTTTTATACATTGTGCCCTGGGGTGTGTAAGAGAAATCTTTTCCCAGCTTGAGCTGTTTATGCTGAAATATGAGTGGAATCTGCTAACCTTTTTCTTTTTTCTCTCGCAGTGCTTTGCGCCAAGAATCTTGCAAAGAAAGATTTCTTCAGTAAGTAACTGAAAATATACTTTTTCATACCTCCCCATCTACTGATGTTAGTATGTCTACTGATCTTCTGTGTTTTTGCTGTGGGTATTCAAGGAAAGTTTTTCGAGAGTCGGAAGCATAACTGCCTGAAACTTCTACTCACCAGACCATGAAGCCGTGAGCGTGATCTTTTTTTTTGCTTCGAGCTGCTTTAAAGGCAGGTCTCAACTCTGGCGGCGGCTGCCAGCAAATGCATTTCTGCTCATGCTCACTCTCTTCTTTCTAAATTGGGTGAGCCGCTGTAAGCTGCGGTAAATATCTCCTCTCGGGAGAGGTGGCAGGATCAAGTCACAGTGAATTAACCGGGGAATCACCGTTACATTGAGAGAAGTGCAGGTTCTTTTCACCGGATAGGCCTGGTGTGACACACGCCGGAGATCGTACTTTAGAAACCCGAAAAAAAAAAAAGGCTTAGTTGCATTTTTGGGAACTTCGGGGGACTTTAAAAATAGCACACTGTGGAATTAGTTAGTGATGGAGCTTCACGGGAAATCCATGTTCTCTTCCAGGGGCATGCAGCTTTTCAATCAAGGGCCACCCAGGGCATGCACAGCGTAGCAAAAGTTGACTGGACCCAACCTTGCCGTAGGTTTGGGGTCTTTGGGGAGGTGGGGGTTAAACAATGGTGGGTTTCAAAAATTGTTGGAACCTACTCTCTGGGTGTGGCCTCCTTTGTGGGAGTGGCTTGCCACCCATGTGACCAGATGGGAGTGGCTTGCCACCCATGTGACCAGATGGGAGTGGCTTGCCACCCATGTGACCAGATGGGAGTGGCTTGCCACCCATGTGACCAGATGGGAGTGGCTTGCCGCCCATGTGACCGGATATGAAATTATGAATTAGTACTTAGGTCGGTCCAAGTAGCTATTCAGAAACTCTGGCATTGAAGCATGCAAGTCTTAAAGCTGTCAAGTTACAAGATCCTTGCCAGTGGTGGATTTCAAATTTTTTTGGAACCTCTTCTGTAGGTGTGGCCTGCTTTCCGGGTTCACTGGTGGAACTTCTTCTAACCGGTTCGGTAGATTTGACGAACCGGTTCTACCGAATAGGTGCGAACTGGTAGGAACCCACTTCTGGGGTTAAAAAATGGAAATAGAGACCTTAAGCCAGGACGCCCCTAAAAGAGGTCCATTCCGTGCTCTACCCTTTCCATAATAAAAGAAACTCTAAAAATGCTCTGTGCTCCCAGCAACTGTTTATAACATTTCTTCTCACGACTACGAAGAGAGCAGTTGTTAACCATTGTGGTTCGGTAGTCCTCTGCTAGCTTCTTTGGTCTTTGTGGTGACGGGGTTGCTTTCATCCTTTGCAGGGCTCCCTGACCCCTTTGCAAAGATTGTGGTGGACGGGTCTGGTCAGTGTCATTCCACCGACACCGTGAAGAACACCTTAGATCCCAAGTGGAACCAGCATTATGATTTGTAAGTCGAACTGTTCCGCAAGCGGTTTTATTTATTTTTCTTACATAAGGTGTTTTTTTTTTAATCTGATCTACTGATTACATTTCTATGCCACAATCAAGACACGATCGTTTATCTTTATTTACACGAAGTGTTCACAACCTTGTTCTGTACCTAGGAGCCAGGGCCTCAGGTAACTTGACAACGAGAGAGAAATAACTCAGGGAATACAAGTCGGTTACCGAGTAGACTTAAGAAAGCCCAAATAATCCATAAGATAACAATTCCTTCTCCATCTCCGCTCTTACACAACTGGTCATCTAAAAATGCTTCACACCAGCAGTGCTGATCCGAAGTAATTTTGAGGCAGGGCCCACTCCCCTGAGGATCATTATTAGTATGTTTTGTTAGAGAATGTTGTTGTGTCGTAATTTGCAAGACTTAATTTTGGGGCTTGGGAATTGAGGTATCAGCTAGACTCTCAGGCACTTATTTTAGGTGTGCCCAAGTGACTATGTCTTCATGTTACTTTTGCAAAGCCCCTCAGTTGAAAAACATCGTGTCTTATCTGACTTCTGGATCCCAGAAATGGAAGCCTGTATCATTTTTCCTAGAAACCCTTGCCTAATTCCTCCGCTGTTAGGAACCGAAGGTGTCTCTTGTGCAAAAACGACTCTCCGGTTTTAAGAAAAAGCAGCCTTTCCACTTGAGCTCTGCACTTTTGTAGTTTGTAATAAGGTTGTCTGCAATTAACCAATGTTTGTGTGTTATCTATTTAACATGCTGTGCAAATTACAGTAATCTAGTGATTAGCTGCATGTTTCTCTCCTTTTGATGAAGGCGTAGTCTTAACCAAAGCATGATTCAAATGGGTTCACAAATGGGGAAGTTGTACCATAGCAGACAATGAACCTCAGTTAAATCTCCTCCTCCTCCTCCTCCGACTGATTATTCTAGATACGTTGGGAAATCAGATTCTATCACCATCAGTGTCTGGAACCATAAGAAAATTCACAAAAAACAGGGAGCTGGCTTCCTGGGATGCGTCCGACTTCTTTCTAATGCCATCAGCAGGCTAAAAGATACGGGATGTAAGCATGTCTTTACTGCCAAATGTTTTCTGGGTTGTCTTGGGCAATATTTGGGGGGGTCCCTGTTCTAAACACTGATTCCCAATTGTATAGATTCTTGGCTGAATGTTTTGCCTCCCCCTTGTTCGTTTCAGATCAGCGTTTGGATCTATGCAAACTAAATCCCACAGACACTGATGCAGTCCGAGGCCAGATAGTTGGTAAGAAGGAATATCTTGAACGTGATAAATTAAAATATAGCTGGGGTGTTCAACTCCGGATTAACAAGCAGAATACCTTTATTGAATTACACCTTTTAGTGTGACTGAGGTGGTAAGAAAAAAGGCCTTCCTTTTTAGACTGCCCCCTAGTGTGACAAATTTGCTCTCCTTTTGCACTTATGGAGGGAAAAGAATTTTCAGTTGTATGTTAATATAGAAGGCTTTGTGTTTTAGCCAAAGTATTTTTCAGACTGCAGTCTACATTATTGGGCAGTGGCTGCTTTGTTAATTGTTTTTAATTGCTAGTGGCCTTGATTCCTGAAATTTTAAGGAGGCCCTAGGAAAAGAAGGCTTACTATATTCTTCTTTTTCCCCTTTTTGTTATTAAAGATTGAATGAATTATTAGAATACAAAAATGTACTGCCTCTTAAGTTATCCCAGCAAAGTACTCAGATCTGCCTTCGTAGGAAGGAACTCTGCATGTGGCTCATGGCCAAATACTTGAGAGTCTATTAAAAAAAAAAGCATCTACAAATGCTTGCCATGTCAAATTAAACCGCTTTCCCAGAAATGTTTTTGTGTTTTCGTTGCTGTCTTCTATTTGCGTACTGAAATTTTTTTCCATTTTTGTTTCTCTTTTTCTCATTCCAGTCAGCTTGCAGACACGAGATAGGATAGGCACAGGAGGGTCTGTGGTAGACTGCAGGGGGCTCTTGGAGAATGAAGGGTAGGTATCCTGCCTTCCGATCAGGTTTGTGGGGTCCTCGGTGCTCTGTGAGACTTCCGTGTCTTCTTGCAGTCCTTTCATTTCCAAACTGCCTCGCTTTATCTGGTCGAAATGGAATAGAATTCAGTGTTCTGCCCTGCATCGCTAGGGGTGCAAAATTATTCCCCTTGTGATGATTGTGGCGCAGATATGCAAACTATTAAACATATTGCACGAGATTGTCCCACTCTGGTCCCCTAGAACAGTGTTTCCCAACCTTGGCAACTTGAAGACGTCCGGACTTCAACTCCAAGAATTCCCCAGCCAGCATTCGCTGGCTGGGGAATTCTGGGAGTTGAAATCCAGACATCTTCAAGTTGCCAAGGTTGGGAAACACTGCCCTAGAAGATCTGCATGAAGCCACGCTGTGATGGCCTGGATAGCTATGAGGCTACTGCTGTTACCCCCATTTTATTCATAATTTTGTAGGCTATGTGTCTTAAGTTTACTTCGCTCCTGTCATGTTCTCATCACACGCTAATATCGTAATAAATAAAACTTCCAAATTAGGTAACATCATCCATCCTCGTGCACTGATGATGTTCTCGAGTCGGGTCATGAAACATCTGAAAGAAAACCACCAGTCTCAGACAGCACTAGTTCCACCCTGAGCTACAAACGTTCCCTTCTCTCAGTTTAAGAATAAAAGCTAAATTTAGCTATTGGGTTAAAAAAAAAACACACAATTGCAGCAAAGAACAAGGGTTGAAAAGTCAGATCGCTTTCCCTCGGCATTTTATCATCATTAAGTGAGTCACTGAAGGAAGTGTGGTCATTTAAGAGATAAATGCAAATTTAGCCTCTGGCACCCATGTCCTGGCCCCCCCCAAATTTTGCAGTTGTGAACAGGGCGGATTTAATTTAGATTGATTTAAATCAGGATTTAAATCCCTAGTAAAAAGGCTTGATTTAAATCAACTCGATTTAAATCATAATTTTTAAAGAGCCACTGTCATCTCTGTCCCACAGCGGCTCTTCCTCTGACCCGCTGTTGACTCATTCCCAGTTTTGCAGATATATACAGCCTCACGCTACATAACTAAGTTCCACTTCATGCTGAATAAACTAAATTATCCATGTATCTTAAATAGGAAACTATCTTTAGATAGATTTTTTTTTTTACTCCAGAAGACATTTTATTAAAACAAATGTGATTTTTTTTTAAAAAAAAAAATCCGATTTAAATTTTGAAAAAAATATTTTTTAATTTTTTAAAAAAATCATCAATTTTTATCCACCCTGGTTGAGAATCAGCAGAGTTTTGTGTTTTGAGATAATTTCCTTGGTTCTTGGCTTCCTGGGAGGGAAGGTCTGCTTGGAAAGGCTGGGCCCCTTCCCCCTTAAAGCCGGTCATTCCAAAGCTTCCTCGNAGTCGACCCCTGTTCTTTAGCTGCTCCCTTCGTCTGGCAACTCTGCGCATGCGCACACTGGGAACAGGCTCCAGCTGTTCCTCTGCCTCACTGATTTCTGACTCTGAAGGCAGCTGATAACTGTCAGACGGCTCTGGCCCCCTCTCTGCCTCCGACACAGCGCCCTCATCGGAGCTTTCATCAGACTCCAGGACTGGCCCAGGTTCCTCCCTAACCTCCTCACTGACCGAATCTGCTGCCAGCTCCACTGGCGGGCCCCAACGAAGAGTGAGGAAATCAAGGATTGCAAGAAGAGCCCTCCTGGTCCAGGAACGGAGAAACCAAGGTTCGTCAACATTGCTCAACCATCTCCTGAAAACCTGCCCCCCTGCAAAAAAACACTAGTATGATTTATGTGGATTGCTTATTTAGCATCCTGTGACTATTGTAGTGTTGTCTCTTATGATGAATGTATCTTAAGATTATAATCACGATTTGTCACTTGTTTGTATGTACACCTGAGAACTTACACGCATCGGAGACCAATTCCTTGTCTGTCCAATCAACGCTTGGCCAACAAAGAATTCTAAAAAAAAAGAGAGAGGAAGAATTCCTTCGTTTGTTGCCGAAACCGGCTACGCTTTTCGATCTCTCCCTCTAGAAGCAAAACGCCTAGGCCAGCTGCTACTTCCTCCTTCCTCTGGCTGAACAAACATGCCCTTGTGACCAACTTTAAACCTTAGCCTGTGGCAAAACAATACCCTGGCAAGTGGCTCAATTGGCCGGACTCTTGTTGCACTCCTTTCAAGCCACTGGGCCTGGAGCTGTTTTGTTGCCTCCGGCTCTCACCTGCATACATGGGGTAAAAGGTAATAAGTGATCCATTTGAATACGTCAGCTGTGGTTATTTTTGCTTCCCCTGTGGCCGAGGGCTTGCAAACCCTTCCAGGCTGCACAATGGATGGCTCGGGTCCAGAGCGTCCTTTGAAGTAAAACGTTCACTGCCAGCAAAAAGGCAAAAAAAATAATTCCCGTGCTTTTCACCTAGCTACACGATCCATTTTCTGGAGTGATTTGACTGATTGATTTGATTTTATTACATTTATATGTCGCCCTTTTCCCCAAAGGGGACTCAGGGCGGCTCACAATTCAAATCAGGGAAGGGGGGGGGTACAGACAGGAAATAAAGACGAAACATAACAATACATAATTTAAAAACACACAACAGTCATACCATTCGAGNAAACAGCCAAGCTCAGAGAGCACTGAGGACCCCACAATAAGAACCATCCTTAAAGAAACCGACGGTGACTCTGGGTTTGAATCTGTTCAGTGGGGTAGACATAAAGAAAAACACCTTTTTAGCCCTGCTTTCCATCCCGCAAATTCTAACTTATGAAATGTGCTGCCCTAAGACCACTTTGCCTCTAATCTACTTAGGCAAGCCAAACTTTCTAACTTGTTTTGGGGAAGGTTCTCCTGATCCCCCACAACCTGGGTAGTTCTCACCCAAGATGTATTTCATCCTGGCCTCCTCTTGTAATGCTGATCCCTCCCCTTGTATTTGGGCAGCTGAATCCATCAGCATTTAAATGGCTGCTTTTAAAAAAAATCCTTTTTTGATTGTTTTGTCTATTGATACGGGTTCAGTCTGGGAGTTCTCTGCCTTTGACCTCTCCCTTGTCATCACCTCCCTCTTAGGGAGAGTTTCAGCATCTCTTTATCTCGTCTGCATTTTAACGCTGTCTAGACGGATGCTGAATCCTCTTAACATGCCATAACCAGATGTCTGTTTGGTTTGGGGGGCGGGATAGGCAGAAGATTTCCCCATTATGCAATTAAATACCTGTTATCTCAGGTATTCGGCTGATAGGGCACTGTCTTACCACAAAAAAAGAAACCTTGGCAGTTCTTTTAAAACAAAACAAAAAATCCCCCAAACTTCCTATTCCCTGTTCTTATTCTGTTTCCTGTTGAATGCCTTTCTGTAACAGAGCGAGGAGGATCCAGAAAAGCCATCGTGATTGGACTCTGCTCCACAATGTGTTTTTTTCTGAAATGTTGGCAAATCTCGCTCGCTGGAGTCAGCCTTTTTCCAAAGTGTCTCATAAACCAGCATTTCTCAACCTCAGCAAATTTTTAAGATCCGTGGACCTCAACTCCTAAAAATTTCTCCCCGGTCCACCCATCTTAAAGATGCTGAGCTTAAGACTCTCATAGAACCATCTTGGGAACTAATCCAATTTCTGAAGTGGAATAAACTTTTACTTTCATTTCTCATCCTCTCTCTCTCTCCCACCCCCCCCCACCCCAATTTCTAATCTTGTTGAAAATTATATCCGGCAGGGAATGGCTGTACCTTCTATGCCACGAAATGCTGAATCCGTACTACGGGCTTTTCCAATATTCAACTGATAACATTTACACGCTGCAAATAAATCCCGATTCCTCCATCAACCCCGTAAGTACTCTTTAAACCCAAGGATCTATTTTTGGTTTTGGAAGATGACTGTTAGAAAGGAGCAAGCATCTCTGAAATATATATGATAAAGTTCAGTTGCCAGCTCATTTTGGCTTTAGAATTTCCGCAGGATATTCTTTCATTTTATATATTTTGTCAAATTTGCGTGGCTGCCCATCTCACGAAAAATGATTCTGGGTGGCGTTACAACACTTAATTAAAACTAAAACTTTCATGATCACGACCTTTACTTGGGCAAGTTGGTGCATCACAGGAAAACAATTTTTGAACCCAGGTGCCTCAAGTGGGCTAATTTACAGAATGAGCCCAAAATCCAGGACCCATGACTCCCAAGGGAATAAAAAATTGTGGAAATTGTGGTTGCTTCAGTGCTACTAGTTTCTGTTGGGCGGCTGCTGCGGTCACATGATCTTCATTTTCCACATTCCGTAACAGTTTCCCAGCCAGTCTAGCAATCCCTTGTTTCCCCCCCCCCCCCCGGGCAGTGGCCACTTGAGTTCATCGAAGTAGCCTTTAGAATACACAATCCAGTACTGGAAGGCCAAAGTGAAATCTTTTTCCTCCCTTGTTTTTATTTTCTGTACACTCTGCGAACCGATTAATGTCTATTTTTCAGTCGAGTCCTCATAGACCATGGAAGGTAAGCCTACACGAAATAGGGCTCAAAGCTGAACTAACTTGCTTCTAATGGACTAATTGGTGTAGCCCACATTTGTTCCCACGAAGGCAGGAGTGGGCAACGTTGGGGAGGGTCGTGATGACCCTCGCCCTTTGCAATCAGCTGGGACAAAAAAATGGGGTTGTGGCCCAGAGTTTAATGTAGTCTGGCTATTCCCACCCGGTCCTCCCTCCTTCCCTAGGTAAGATTTGGTCTTGTGGCTGTTATTGCTGCTCCCTCCACAAATCCGTTTCTTTTTCCTTTTTGCCTTCTTCCTCTGACATTTGCCAGTATCATCCTTACTAAAGAGCCATGGAGGCAAAGTGGTTAGAATGCAGTATTGCAGGCTAACTCACTACGCAGTGCAGGAGTTCGATTCTCACCAGCTCAAGGTTGACTCAGCCTTCCATCCTTCCGAGGACAGTAAAATGAGGACCCAGATTGTTGGGGGAAAGAGGCTGCCACTGTAAACCGCTTAGAGAGAGCTGGAAAGCACTGTGAAGCGGTATATAAGTCTAACTGCTATTGCTAAGGAGGAAGGAAGGAAGGGAGGGGGGGAAGGCAGGCAGGCCATAGTGGTGCAGTGGTTAGAATGTAGTTTTGCAGGCTGACTCTGCCCACTGCCAGCAGTTCAATCCTGACCGGTTCAAGGTTGACTCAGCCTTCCGTCCTTCCGAGGTGGGTAAAATGAGGAGCCAGATTGTTGGGGGGCAAGAGGCTGACTCTGTAAACCGCTTAGAGAGGGCTGTAAAAGCACTGTGCAGCGGTATATAAGTCTAAGGGCTGTTGCTATTACCCTCCGTGCGAGCTCCAGAGCNGGAACGCTGTTCCCTTCCCACCAAAGGTGGTTCCTATTTTCCTACTTGCGTTTTTTACATGCTTTCGAACTGCTAGGTTGGCAAAAGCTGGGACAAGTAACAGGAGCTCACTCAGTTACGCGGCACTAGGGATTCGAACCGCCAAACTGCTGACCATTCTGATCGACAAGCTCAGCATCTTGGCCACTGAGCCACTGCGTCCCTAATATGCTTATATTATATTATATGCTAATATTCTCTCATATTATATTATAATATTATATTATATGCTAATATTCTCTCTCATGCACCCCCGCAAAGCCAAGCACCATCTCTTGGGGCTTTTTTTGCTATCCAAATGCAGAACTTTTACTTTCTGTTATATTTCAGTGGGTTGGATGCGGCCCACAGTCTTAAGCCTGTCAGATTTCGTTTTGTCCTCCCAACTGAACCCTGATAGCAAAGGTAAAGAAGAAGCAATCAATCAATCAATCAATCAATCAATCAATAAGGTGGAATTAAAGGAAACCAAATGTGCAGCAGGAAGGAGACACCATTCCTTTCAGCTACACATTCATTTGTCTAAAAGTCTCCTTCAAACACATGGCATAGTTTTCATTGTTCAACCTGCCTTTTTTCTTTCTCCGTGTAACTGCAGATGTCAAGGAATGAATGCTTTCCTTAAATTAAAAATGGAGGAAGCACTTTGGATGATTCAGATGAAGCTTAAAACCCTATTGTCATACTCCTGTAATGGGGAGAAGGTGGCTTGTTTTGGCCCTTCTTATTGACTTTGCTATATAAATGAACCTTCGTGTTCAGGGTTCACGTTTAAAGGCCAGATGTTGGCAGCCAGTGGGTGTATTTGACAGAGCAGGACGGGAATGGATTTTCTGATTAAACAAACCTTTTGGTCTTCGCTTTCAAAGTCTTCTTTATGTTTCGATTGATGTGCTTGCTCATGCATGCACAAGCAACAGCCCTCTGAACTCCCCTATCATGAGTGGATGCTGGAAGTCAAAGATATTTGTCATTAAATTCTAGCCAGAAACTATTTAAAAAGTACATCGCAAAAATAAGGGTATTGTAGTCCAGGTAACTGACCTGTAGGGCCACAGTTGTGCCCAAAAAACGTACGTTGCTAAGTGAAACATTCATTGAGTTTGCCACAGTTGTCACAGATGTCTCTTTCCAGATTTGTTAAGCGAATCATATTTTTTTCTTAAGTGAGTAACATGGTGGTTAAGTGAATCTGGATTTCCCGTTGATTTTGCTCGTCAGAAAGTCGCGCATGGCCCTAGGCCAGCGCAGCCGTCATAAATACGAACCAGTTGCCAAGCATTTGGATTTTGATCACGTGACCCCGGGGATGCTGCAGCGGTCGTAAGGGTAAAAAAACGGACATGTCACTTTTTTTCAGTGCTGTTGTAACTTTGAATGGTCACTAAATGAACTGTTGTAAGTCGAGGACTACCTTTATATTAAGCACCTGCAGCAGCAAACGGTGTGTGCGTTTTAAGGCCGTCGATATGCTCCTTGCCCATAAGGAAAAGTACTTTTATAGAGAGGCCGTTCCGAAGTTGAAGTTAGAGGTGTGCGACATGGTTACTTCTGAAATTACTCGCAATAGAATTGTGAATAAAAGAAATAAGAGAATTGTTCCACATGAATGCTTTTCAATCGATCTCATAATTTCAGCATTTCACAATATTTTTGTTTAAAGACAACTGGTTGAATTTTTCAGGCTGCTTCTTCTGCTTCCGTCTGTAATGTTATCGTTGGTTTCTTTTAGAGACCAAAACCATTTTTTTNCAGTTTAAATCTAAATGAACTTGCTGTAGTAGTAGTCAAAGCATTTCCTTTTTTTTTTTTTGAAAAATTTTATTGTTTTAATTCAAACAAAAACACAAAACAAGAATCCTCTTTCGTTATTACATCTTGTAGAAAGCGTGTCGATTGGTTACAAATACATTCCGTGCGTATCTTCCACAATCCTTACATATACTTCATTCAGATTGAATTGTACATTTTAGATCAGAAAAGAAAATTTATGTATTTTACTGTCACTGTACCACAATTCTCATTTAGTTACAATTATTTAAACATGTTTTTATCTTAAGTTCATTTGTATTTAAAGACACAACCACCTACTGGCATTCATTTGCAGTTTCAATAAACCTCCAATAACATTACCCCTTTATGACATATTCTGAAACCAATTCAGTTAAGTAAAATATCTTAAGTAGTCAAAGCATTTCCATTGTGTTTCCTGACCTCCCGCAGCTTTAACCGAATTGACATTCCGCCTTACGAGTCCTACGAGAAGCTTTATGAGAAGCTCGTGACCGCCGTGGAAGAGACCTGTGGCTTTGCGGTGGAGTGACCAGGCAACCAAAGGAAACCGATATTGCTAAAGCTCACGGACCACCAAATCAAAGGAAAAAAAAAAAACCTGTAAGGAGAAGCTTGCTGTGAACTTCTTTTTTTTTTTTTGTCCAAAGTGTTGGGATTTGCTTGACAACTAAGGGTGCAAAGGCTGTTTTCCCCCTCCCTTCGATGGCGTCGGCGAAGAGGGAGGCTTTTTATTTTTTGGAGGTTTCCCAAACATACCTTCTCCCTCTCGTGACAATATAACCCTCCCTTTCCTTTCTTCATTTCCCAGGAAACAACAACAACAACAACCAGAAAACCAAACCAAACCACACACACACACACAAACACAAAATACAGGCAGCCAGGTTCAGCGTTCCGGTTTCGGTTACCCGCGATAATTCTGCTAGATTTGTAACACATATTGTGATAAGGGTCTACGACCTGTGGTCTTTTTTTATAGGAGATTCAAAACTGTAGTTGAGTATCTTTTGCCATTGGTTTGCCCGAGGAGTTTGGTCATCGGTAGGTGTCTGTGGATGTTTGTCTTCGACGCAACCCTGAACCCTTGTAGAATCCAGAAGCTCTGGAGAGGAATGAATAAAGGGAAAAGGAAAAAGATTGGCACTGAAATTCCCACTAGCGCATTTCAAGGAAATCCCCGTTGAAAGGAACGCCGCCCGGCAGAGCGCGCCGCTCCGTAAGCATAGGAAAACTGAGGATTATTATTCCTTGTCAGGAAGCTTTTTCCCCCCCTCTTCTTCTTCTTCTTCTGTGAATGAGATGACTTGGCTCTTAAGAGGAACAATTCAGGAGAATCCAGCCATCTTGGGACGATGCAAGTTTCTTTTCTCCTTTTGCGGGGGACGCTTGGCATAGGAGGTAGATCCATTCTTTGGAATAACTGTTTTTTTCTTTTCGTCATCCCTGGCATCTGTGGAAGAGAAAGCAGGGCACGGCTCAGATTCTCAAGAGAAACCACACATCCCCCCTTTTCTCTCTCTCTCTCTGTTTCTCGCTCTGTTTCTCTGAAATGCTTTCATTGTGATGTGAAACGGCCGAAATTCTTTCCACAGGAAATAGCTCACAGCAAAGATAAACGGGATCCAGTTCCATTTCTGAAACTGTCTGGTATATAGAACGGCTCTCGTGAA